TATATGATGCATGTAGAGATTAGGGTTTGATCATTATAATCGTTGTTTTTCCAAAAAACCGGTAACCCAAAATGTATATTTTATTCGGATGTGTCTTGAAAGTTTATAAACATTGTCGCAATTATTTATATTTGTGACGAATTTCATCCCTCTCTCTCTCTCTCCACGTAATAATAATACAATTTGTAACGCTCGAAAAGTGATTGCTTCATCCCTTCTGAAACATCGTTATGCCGTTAGATGACTCAGTCAACATGATTGACATCAATTAGATCTGTACACGTATTTCCATCGTGCCGTTTGTGTGTGTGTGTGGCTATATGTACGGTCTATATAGTGTGTAAATATCGCCGCTAGGGAGACAACGGCGGCCAGGCGTGGTGGTGGCCACCCACCCCCTGGTGTGCCGTGCCGACCTTCATTGGTTCGACTCGCTAACAACACTTGCCCCAACAGTCCGTTAAGGCTATAAGGGCGGATCTTTGTATCTATGTACGTTGAACTTCTTTCGCACCGTACGTAGCCAACCGTGCTAATCGGAGGTGCTGGGGGCAAAGGACGACAAACTAAACACAAAAAAAAAACATTTTATTGTTTTTCTTATTTTTATTTTATTTTATTGTTTTCCTTCTACGTGACTTTACCGAAAGAACCAAGAATACAAAAAAACGCAGTTCTGAATAAATGAGTTTAAAATCTTGATAATGATTTAAAAGTGCATTGCTCCATTGGCTTCCAAATATATCGGAAGGAAGAGCGTTCCAGACGGCCGCAGAAGCGCATCGGGAAAGCGCGAGAAAAAAATCCGAGTACCGTGCGCATCTCTCAATCCATCCACACTTCTTTGCGTAAATCTTCACCTTTTGTTTGCTGGGGATTAATCGATGAGCCCAAATAATAAAACAGCGACTCGGTGAATGTCACCTGCTGTTACGTTCCGATCAGATGTGTGAATACTGCAGTGACAAGGTGGGACAATGCTGCGAATTGATGTTCTGTTAGCGAGCACCGATTAAGAGGGGCACCTTTCACGAATGGGTTGCGCGATTCATCACCGCGCACGGCCGCCTTTGCCTCGCCCAGTTCTGATATTTTGTTTCATCGTACCAGCTTTGCGCACCCTTCAGCTTTTGTTTGCCGAGGGTTCATAGATGAGCCTCAATAATGAAATAGCGACTCGGGTAGCGGCTAGCTGCAGTGGTTAGCCGCTACGTTACCCTCTGAACCCGGAGGTTGAGGAGTTTGATTCCCGCTCACGGCCACCAACACCAGTGACGATTATCTGAACCGGTCTTGGGCCTCACCTAGGTCGAATCGGCCTCAAATGGGTACCTGGTGCGGTGTGTAAAAGACGTCACTTGCCCCAACAGTTTGTTGAGGTTTGACGTTTACATATCGCTGTATGTGGTGTGTAAATGTAACCACTGTGGAGAGACAAAGGCGGCCGGGCGTGGTGGTGGCCACCCACCCGCTCGTGTGCCGTGCCGGCCTTCATAGGTCCTGCTCGCTAAGAGCACTTGCCCCTACAGTCCGTTACAGACTATACGGGGGATCTTTGTATGTTTGTATTGTATAGTTCATGTTTTGTGTATGATGTATTACAAGGTATATATATATACACATTTTAATGTTACATGTAAGTATAACTGTTGAAATTATACATCTGTATTTTACACATAATATATGTATATATGAATACCATACATATACTTACGTAAATTACACACGTGTGTAACATCACACTTGCGTGTGCGTACTGTCTTTGTTTTATGTATATATGTGAGATGAGCGGTGGCGCAGTGGTTAGCGCACTGCGCTTTGAACCCGGCTACACGCGTTGCTATATTAAAATTCGCGATGTGACCGTGGCTTAGCGGCCCAGCAGGGATTCACGGTTCGAATCTCGCGGCCGCCCGCATTAATACTGCGCCCAGGATCGGTTATTTAACCGTTCGCCGGGAAGTGCGCAAACCACTGCGCAACCGCTCATCTTATACATACCAATATAATATAATGATTACATAAATGTACGTTAATGTTTGTTACAGGTATTGATTACTAGTAAGTATATACATGCGGTGGTGCAGTGCGCCAAAACCACTGCGCTACTAGCCCAGCGAACCGATTTCGATCCTCGCTCGAGGAGACAATAGGCGGCCGGGCATGCTGCCGACTTGCCCAGCCTGTTCAAGGCTAGGGTGTGTGTGTGTGCGTGTCCACGTGTGAAAAACGCGCGGAGCGGTGGCGCGTTGGTTCGCGCATCGCGACGCTGAGTTCGATTTCTGAACCGGTCTTGGGATCTTCCACTTGGTCCCGTATATGCCTGGGGAGGCAAAGGCGGACGGGCTTTGTTTATGCTTTGGTTCTTTCGGTAAAGTCACCAAGTAGAATGAGAATAAAATGATAAATGAATGAAAGAAAATAACACAATAAAATTCTCACGACGTTTCGGCCACAACACAAGTGGCCTTCTTCAGGTGAAAGGAGCAGACCTGTCGGGACGACAGAGCTTCAATGAACGTCGTCCCGACAGGTCTGTTCCTTTCACCTGAAGAAGGCCACTTGTGTTGTGGCCGAAACGTCGTGAGAATGTTATCGTGTTATTTTATTAGCTTATTATTTCATTCTCATTCTACGTGGTGACTTTACCGAAATAACCAAAAGTAGATGAATCCTTGCAGTCACGAAAGCTTTCAATCGAAACGGACGGGCTTTGCTCTCTCTTTTTGGCTTGGTGCGGCCACGTGACTTCCTCGCTCAGCCCTTGGCAGGTCGCTAATGAAGTTGCCGAGAGAGGATTCTGGGACACGAGCTGTTGCCCCGATGCACGTGACCCGTGACCCGGCAGCAGTGGAGGCAGCGAGGGTTGTTGGAATCGCACCGTGACCTTGGCCTAGGGGAGAAATTGCGGTGCAGAAACATCGGCGGACTCCGCCTCTACCATTTGTATTGGGGGATAGAGGGAGCCGGCGTCGACAACCGAAATAACAACAACAACGACAACAACAACGACGAGGCATTGTTGTTGTTGTTGTTGCGAATTCGGTCAAATACGAACCCTCAATATTTCAAGAGCGGCCAAATGCACTGCGGTCAAGACGGAGAGGGCGGCGGTCGTGGATAAATCTCATCACGAAACAGCTCCTTGATGAGCCGCATGCCGACCCCCTGCCCATGGGAAACTGGACTTCCATGGTAAACTGGACTCCCATGGTAAACTGAACTTCCACGATAAACTGGACTCCCAAGGTAAACTGGACTCCCAAGGTAAACTGAACTTCCATGGTAAACTGAACTCCCATGATAAACTGAACTTCCATGGTAAACTGGACTCCCATGGTAAACTGGACTCCCATGGTATGCTGGACTCCCATGGTAAACTGGACTCCCTTGGTAACTGGACTCTCATAGTAAACTTGACTCCCATGGTAAACTGGACTCCCATGGTTAACTGAACTTCCACGGTAAACTGAATTTCAAGAGCCGCACCGCAGCCCTTAAAGAGCCGGAAGCGGCTCCTGAGCCGCAGGTCGCCGACCCCTGGGATAGAGCGTTGCCCCCTCGCACGCGTGGGGTTTCTCCGGGCGAGAGTGAAATGATGATGACGATGCCCGACGTTTCGCTGCGCTCGCTGAGAGCAATAGCTTCCTCGCAATGTCAAGAGACAAGACGGATGGATGGGCCTGCGGTGAATCGGAAAACGCGCTACGCAAGGGTTGGTAGATCACATGAACGAACTCCTACAGCCAACGGGCCTGCGAGGTGCTATGCGTGCCTGCAGGGAGTTGCCGACTTGGTAAGTAAATAAGCTCGGCTGGCCAACGTCAAAGGCCAGCAGCAAGCCGACAACCTTTGTACAATCTAGGGACAAATGTGAGAGCTGCTGTTGCATTTATTCATAATACAGCTTCTTGGGTTAGATTGCTTTAAGTACAAATGTGTTGGAGAGTAAATCCTACAACATTGACTCGCCAACACACCGGTGGGCTGAAGCAGTAACGATTTGGCGTTTTGTTTACGCGACAAATCCCTTACTAATTGGCTGTGTCGGGTGGTGGAGGGTTACGACACAACATTAATACTAACGCGATCCAACCCAAACACATTTATGATTCATAGTATTGGTCGCGAAAGCCCAAGGTGTTAAACTGCTGCATTTAGATCGAAACGTCGGACATCGTTCCGAACAACACGGGGCAAAACCAGGCAACGCATCGGAGGGGATATTTGTGTGCGAATGGACATTCACGCATACACACGTTCGTGTGAATGTTCTATATGTACACAGTATACACGCGTGTGTGTGTGTGGCTATGTACGCGTGGGGAGCGATGGTGTAGCGCTTAGCGCGCTGCGCTACGAACCTGGCGACCCGAGTTTGATTCCCGCTCACGGCCAACATCAGTGACGATTATCTGAACCGGGCCTAGGTCTCCCGTAGGTTGACTCAGCCTCAAATGAGTAGCTGGTGCGGTGCGTAAAAAAAACATCGCTACTGGAGAGACAAAGGCGGCCGGGCGTGGTGTTGGCCACCCACCCCCTCGTGTGCCGTACCGGCCTTCATAGGTGCTGCTCGCTAACAGCACTTGCCCCTATAGTCTGTTCAGGCTATACGGAGTATCTTTTTCTTTGTTATGGTTGTGTGTATGTATCGGCGTGTGCAACAGTGAGTGAGTGAGTGGGGGGAGCGGTGGTGTCGTGGTTAGCGCTACGCTGCGCTACAAACCCTGGAGTCCCGAGTTCGATTCCCGCTCAGGGCCAACACCCAGTGACGGTTATCTGACACCGGGTCCTGGGCCTCCCCTAGGTCGACTCAGCCTCAAATGATTATCTGGTGCCGTGTGTAACCATCGCCACTAGGGAGATCAAAGGCGCCCGGGCGTGGTGCTGGCCACCCACCCCCTCGTGTGCCGTTCTGATGCTCGCTACCAGCACTTGCCCCAACAAGTCTGTTAAGGCTACACGGGGGATCTTTGTCTTTGTCTGTGATTGCGTCTCAGAGCCCAAGTACGAGGGGGGGCACCAGGTCCGGGACGGCTCTGGGTGGGGGGTGGGGGCCACGCACCCCCACCACAAAGGTGAGCAACACAACACATCAACACACACCAACACATCAACACATCAACACACACCAACACCACATGAACACAAACCGACACACCAACACCACATCAACACAAACCGACACACCAACACATCAACACAAACCGACACACCAACACATCAACACAAACCGACACCAACACATCAACACAAACCGACACACCGACACACCGACACATCAACACAAACCGACACACTGACATACCAACACATCAACACAAACCAACACACCAACACCACATCAACACAAACCGACACACTGACACCACATCAACACAAACCGACACACCGACACATCAACACCACATCAACACAAACCGATACACTGACACACCAACACCACATCAACGCAAACCGACACACCAACACATCAACACAAACCGGCACACCAACACACAAACACACATCAACACAAACCAACAGACTACACAAACCAGCACATCAACACAACAGACACAAACCAACACAACAGACGTCAACACAAATCAGCACATCAACACAACAGACACCAACCACATCGACATCAACAGAACGACAAAACCAGCCGGCGTCCGCTAAGTGGTGGTGACGTCACCACAGCGCCGTGCCAGGCTAGGTGCACTTTGAGGCCACGTGAAGTGTCGAAGGCTCGCTGTTGGCAGGAGGTCACGGGACAGACCCAGGTGCCATGGGTTGACCGACTGAGATGACCGGTAGATGCACCAACTCTTGCTCGCTACTGTGCCAAAGTGCTGCATTTTATCCACCCTGCGCTCCACTCGTTGCCGTGAGCATCGCTCCCCAGCTGTTGTTGGAGGGCCGACTGCCTCCAAATGCCCAGCAGCGTCCTTCGCGAGCTCTCCTCCAGTCTTCGGCAAGTCCACTGAGCTCCGCGTCCTCTACCTGTACCACGTCGGGCTCCATCTCTTCTCCAGCCCGTGCCGCGTCCCTTTAGCCTCCTCTATCCTGCCAAAGAGACGCTGCTTGAGCATTCGTGAGCTGGGCATGGGGGGCTACATGACCCAGCCAACGCAGCCTCGCCTGCCGGAGGAGCTCGCAGAAGGGAACGTGTCCAGACCTTTAAACGTTTGTTTGAGCTCCTCACACCAATCCGGCCTGGTAAAAACCCAGGATGGATCGTAGGCAGGCCAGCCTGAATGTTTCGAATCGGCGCAGATGTTCCATTGGAAGGGAGGTCATGAGTGTGGCCAAGAAGACCATGAGCTTCGTGTGGAGCGAGGTGAGGTGAGGTTCCACACAGCTGATGAAAAGATAATGCCGCTCAGTATACCCATACATACACCTATACACACCTGTATTATACCTGTATTATACCTGTATTATACCTGTATTATACCTGTATTATACCTAACAGCACTTGCCCCTACAGACTGTAGGGGCAAGTGCTGTTAGCGAGCACCTATGAAGGCCGACAAGGCCTACGAGGGGGTGGGTGGCCAGCACCACGCCCGGCCGCCTTTACTACACCGCACCAGGTACTCATTTTAGGCAGAGTCGACCTAGGGGAGGCCCGGGACCGGTTCAGATAATCGTCACTGGGTGTTGGCCGTGAGCGGGAATCGAACCCGTGTCACCAGGTTCATAGCGCAGCGCGCTAACCGCTACACCACCGCTCCTATCCACACACCTGCACACACATGCGTACACATGTAGTCTACCTATGCACGCACATGTATTCTACCAATACACACTATCTGTACGCACACACACACCTACCTGTACGCAGGCAGCGGGCAGATCCAGCTGTGGCAGTTCCTGCTGGAGCTGCTGTCGGACGCGTCGAACGCGCACTGCATCGCGTGGGAGGGCGCGCGTGGCGAGTTCAAACTCACGGACCCCGACGAGGTGGCGCGCCGCTGGGGAGCGCGCAAGGCGAAGCCCAACATGAACTACGACAAGCTGAGCCGCGCGCTGCGCTACTACTACGACAAGAACATCATGAGCAAGGTTCACGGCAAGCGCTACGCCTACCGCTTCGACTTCCAGGTGAGCGGGAAGGGGAAATCAGAGAAATGTTGATTTGTTTTTTATGTTGTGTCTGTGTGTGTGTAGCGGGTTAGCGCGCTGCGCTATGAACCCCGGTGACACGGGTTCGATTCCCGCTCACGGCCAACACCACCAGTGACGATTGTCTGAACCGGTCCCGGGTCTTCCCCGAGGTCGACTCAGCCTAAAATGAGTACCTGGTGCGGTGTGTAGTAAACATCGCCACTGGGGAGACAAAGGCGGTCGGGCGCGGTGCTGGCCACCCACCCCCTCGTGTGCCGTGCCGGCCTTCATAGGTGCTGCTCGCTAACTTGCCCCTACAGTCTGTTGAGGCTATAAGGGGCATCTTTGTGTTCATACCGGACGAATCGCATGAGCTATAAAGCGATTTTTTTTTAATCAGATCAGAATCAGGATAGATATTGGAGGAATCCGATTAGCTATAAAGCTCTTTTTTTCTCAGATCAGAATATATATTGATACTGGAGGAATCCGATGAGCTATAAAGCTCTTTTTTCACAGATCAGAATAAGAAATGAGTATTGCACGCCGTGCTTATTGTGTGAGCCCTGTGCTGTCTGCACACAGGGGCAGGATTCATGTAATCTGAAAATTGTTGACTTAAAGCTTTCGTGACTCCAGGAATTAAGATTCTTTGGGTCTTTCGGTAAGGGTCACGTAGATAGGTTCAAAGAAAAATACACAAAAAATAACAACAAAAAACTCCGACGTTTCGATCGCAACGCAAGCGGCCAACGAGCTATAAAGCACTTCATTTTTCACAGCTCAGCATCAGAAATATGTTTTGAGGAATCCGATGAGCTATGAAGCTCTTTTTTCCGGGTTGTCTAACAGCACATCATCCCCTAGAACATCACGGGTGCGAGGTGGACCCTGCTAGGGCTGTGAGCCTCAATAATTGAGGAAGTTTCCACCCCCCCCTTTGTGCGTGACGTGCATTCTGCCGAGCAGGTGTGAGGGGCGATCCAGAGTTGAAGGCCCAGGCTAAGGGGCCGTCCATAATTTGATGTCACGAACCTAGGAGAGGGGGGGGGAGTCAGACATTTGTGACGATGTGTGACGATGGGGGGAGGGAGTGAGAAATGTGACGTCACATCAAAATGCGCAACTTTAAATAAATATAGACAACACGTTCTACTTAATTAAATAAGACTTTTTAATAAATGTTTTCTCCTACAACATCAGAGTGCAGCGCCACATTAAATACGCACTATGAAGGCCGGCACGGCACACGAGGGGTTGGGTGGGTGACCATTACCACCCCCAGCGGTGATGTCTACACATCGCACCAGCTACTCATTTGGGACTGAGTCGCACCTAGGGGAGGCCCAGAACCGGTTCAGATAATCGTCACTGCCGTTGGCTGCGAGCGGGAAATAAACTCGGGTCGGGGGTTCGCAGCGCGGCGCGCTAACCGCTAGACTACCGCTCCCCAAAGTGACACCACTTAAAAGAACAAAGATCCCCCATGTAGCCTTTACCAGACTGTTGGGGCAAGTGCTGTCGGGGCAAGTGCTGTCGTGGCAAGGGCACCTACGTGCAGGCCAGAACGGCACGCGAGGTGGGCGGGTGGCCAGCAGCACCACGCCAGGCTTTGTATCCCGAGTGGCGATGTTTACATATCGCACCAGGGTATCAACAACCGCCATTCGCCTCTAATTGGCCGTGACGTCACCACGGCGCTTGTGCCAGGCCATGTGCACGTTGTGGCCACATGAAAGTGTCGAAAGCCCGCTGGCAGGAGGTCACGGGGCAGACCCAGGTGCCACGGGTCGACTGCCTGAGATGACTGGCCGATGCACCACCTGTGCCACCCTACTGTGCCAACCTGCTGTGCTTTAGCCACCCGGCGCTCCGCTCGTTGTTGTGAGCGTCGCTCCTCCGCCCTCCATTGTTGTTGGAGGGCGACTGCCTCCAACTGCCCAGTAGCGTCCTTCACGAGCCTCCTCCACAGAGGCCGATCTTGACACCGCTGGTACCAGTCATCGGCAAGTCCACTCAGCTCCACGTCCTCCTGTACCACATCACCCCATCTCTTCTCTAGCCTGTGCCGCGCCCGTTTAGCCCCCTCGATCCGGCCGAACAAAAGCTGTTTCGGCACGCGGTGACTGGACATACGCAACGGCGGAGCCAGGATTTTCAGGTAGAGGGGGCAATCCCTCCGGCAATGACAAATTATAGGAGTTGTTAGTAAGTAAGGAGTTGTTAGTAAGTAAGGAGATGTTAGTAAGGACTTGTCCCTTGCTTTTCATTCGACGCGTGTGTGGCGATGGCTCAGCCATCGATCGAGGGTCGAATTGGAACCGCGTTGTTAGTGATCGGCCTCGCGCTCGCTGAAGGTGTCGATGCCTTCAGGGAAGTCGTGGACTCTGTAGACGCAGCTGAGCACAATTCTGTGAGTCACTTATAACCGCTTTGCCGTCACTTATTGACAATTATGGACTCAGATTATTGTCCCATCATCTCATAGAGTCCTGGCCACATAATAATAATAATATGCTACGCAGTGGCAGTGGAGTTCGCAAAATGCAGATTTATTACTGATAAACCCAAATAGTCCGATCGAAATTATGGATTTCGATCGGATCATTGTGGGGGGGGGGGGGGGTGGGGGTGGGGGGCTCGTGCCACCCCCCCCCCCCCCGTGGGCATACGGGTCACATGACCCAGCCAGTCACTCACTTTCACACACACTTGCTCCGCGGACGCACACGGACGAGCACTCCTCACTCCCAGCGCGAAGCTAACTCATTGCATCTCGCGGAGGATCCCTCCGCTGAACAAAATAGTTCCTCGGTTCAGTTGTGGAAGTGCGAGTTCGCGTTTTAAGTCCACGCTGAAACATTATTTTTCATGGTTCGTAAGTTGCGGGTGTTCGTAAGTATGGGTGTTCGTAAGTGTGGGTGTTCGTAAGTTTGGGTGTTCGTAAGTGTGGGTGTTCGTAAGTGCGGGTGTTCGTAAGTGCGGGTGTTCTTAAATGCGGGTGTTCGTAAGTATGGGTGTTCGTAAGTGCGGGTGTTCATAAGCGCGGGTGTTCGTAAGTGCGGGTGTTCATAAGTATGGGTGTTCGTAAGTACGGGTGTTCGTAAGTGCGGGTGTTCATAAGTGCGGGTGTTCATAAGTGTGGGTGTTCGTAAGTACGGGTGTTCGTAAGTATGGGTGTTCGTAAGTGCGGGTGTTCGTAAGTACGGGCGTTCGTAACTGCGGGTGTTCGTAAGTACGGGTGTTCGTAAGTGCGGGTGTTCGTAAGTGTGGGTGTTCGTAAGTGTGGGTGTTCGTAACTGCGGGTGTTCGTAAGTGTGGGTGTTCGTAAGTGCAGGTGTTCGTAAGTACGGGCGTTCGTAAGTGTGGGTGTTCGTAAGTGTGGGTGTTCGTAAGTGTGGGTGTTCGTAAGTGTGAGTGTTCGTAAGTACGGGTGTTCGTAAGTGCGGGTGTTCGTAAGTGTGGGTGTTCGTAAGTGTGGGTGTTCGTAACTGCGGGTGTTCGTAAGTGTGGGTGTTCGTAAGTGCAGGTGTTCGTAAGTACGGGCGTTCGTAAGTGTGGGTGTTCGTAAGTGTGGGTGTTCGTAAGTGTGGGTGTTCGTAAGTGTGAGTGTTCGTAAGTGCGGGTGTTCGTAAGTGCGGGTGTTCGTAAGCGCGGGTGTTCGTAAGTATGGGTGTTCATAAGTGTGGGTGTTCGTAAGTGCGGGTGTTCATAAGTGCGGGTGTTCATAAGTGTGGGTGTTCGTAAGTGCGGGTGTTCGTAAGTATGGGTGTTCATAAGTGTGGGTGTTCGTAAGTGCGGGTGTTCATAAGTGCGGGTGTTCATAAGTGTGGGTGTTCATAAGTGCGGGTGTTCATAAGTATGGGTGTTCGTAAGTATGGGTGTTCATAAGTGTGGGTGTTCGTAAGTGCGGGTGTTCGTAAGTGCGGGTGTTCATAAGTGTGGGTGTTCATAAGTGTGGGTGTTCGTAAGTGCGGGTGTTTGTAAACGCGGGTGTTCGTAAGTGTGGGTGTTCGTAAGTCGAGGACCGCCTGGACTCTGTGGCTTTTATGCAGGGCTTGGCTCAGGCGTGCCAGGCTCCAGTTCCGGATCCCACCGCCTACAAACTCCAGTCCGCGCTCACCCCGCTCCACTTCGCCTCCAGCTTCCACAAGCTCAACCTGGTCAGTGGGGCCGCCCCGGTCTCTCCTCCCGCCCAGTTCACCTACCCGTGGGTCCACCATCACCACCACCACCATCACCACCACCAGCAGCACCTGCAGCAGCAGCAGCAGCAGCACCAGCAGCACCAGCAGGCAATCGTCTCTTCAGGTTCCGGCTCATCAGCTCTCGGTGTCCCGGGCTGCCACATCGGGTCCCCGAACTCCTCATCCTCCTCATCATCATCATCATCATCGCCGTCCTCCTCTGCTACCGCGGTCGCTGCGGCCGCGGCCGCCGCCGCTGCGGCCGCGGCCGCGGCCGCCTCCTCGCACCTGGCTCTGCAACCATCGCACCTGTTCGGGGGCCTGGCGTGCGCGTCGCACCTGGGCGCGACGTCGTCGCACCTGGGCGCGTCTCACCTGGGCGCGTCTCACCTGGGCACGTCTCACCTGGGCGCGGTCTCGTCCCACCTGGGCGCGTCGTCGTCCCACCTGGGCGCCTCTCACCTGGGCGCCTCCCACCTGGGCGCCTCTCACCTGGGCGCCTCTCACCTGGGCGCCTCCCACCTGGGCGCCTCGCCGTCTCACCTGGGCCCTCACCACCACCACCACCACTTCACAGGGCTCTTCCAGGACGCGCCCTGAGCCCAGCCCAGCGCAACTCACCTGACCCACCTGCGGGTCCGCTCTGGGGGAAACTGTGCAATGTGTGTGCGTGTTGTTGCATTTGCGTGTGCGTGCGTGTACCTGCTGCGGTGCGTAAGCGTCAGCCCCCGGGGGGAGACAAAGGCGGCCGGGCGTGGTGCCGGCCACCCACGCCTTTGTGTCTGCCTTAATAGGTGCTCGCTAACAGCACTTACCCCAGCAGTCTCTTAGGGCTCTATGGGGGGTGGGGGGGGGGGGGTCACAGCACTGCGCATTCAACTCGGCGACCCGCTCACGGCCAACATCAGCGGCGGATATCGGAACCATTCCTGGACCTCGCCTATAGGTCGACTCAGCCTCAAATGAGAACCTGGTGCCGTGTGTAAAAACAAAAACAAAAAACAGCACTGGGGAGACAAAGGTGGCCGGGAGCGGTTATTGCCACGCCACCACCTCGTGCCCCGTGCCAGCCTTCACAGGTGCTTGCTAACAGCACCTGCCCCAACAGTATTAAATGACTATTGTGGGGGAACCTTCATCTTTATGGATGTACCTGCTGCGGTTGTTTCTGTGTGCATGTATGTGTTGTTATGCCTGTGTGCGTGTGTGTCTGTGTCGTATGCGTTGCTATGTTTTGTGTGGAAGAGCCGTCGTTAATATCTCAGCGGCGTCTTGTCTCATAATGGCCTATTATACACAAAAGGAGATAGCGGATCACAGGGGGTGGGGTGGTGGAGGGTTAATCTGGGAGTCCGTTTTGGCGTCCCTACGATGGAAACTTGTAATAACCATGGGCCGCAAACTGTCAGCAGACCTCAAATTCTACCAAATCAAACGAAAAAAATGAGATGGTGACACCACGTTGGCAGCGATGCACAAGCGCGGCTGACCATGGAAGGAACCGGTGGAGAGAGACAAAATATCACAAACTCCACACGCGGAGAGGTGCCCCCGAGTCGGGAATGGAACCCACAGGCCGCTTCTTGCCGTGCGGCAGCGCGCGTTTACCGGGCCGGCCATCGCAAGGCCGAAAAGAGCCTTCAACGTACTCGTCGACAAACACCGCCTCAGAGCGAAAAGGAAAGTGTGCAAGCAGGTAACGTTTTGGGCAATGGACCCATCTGCACCGGACATGGAGAGACGGAGAGACGGAGAGACGGAGAGACAGAGAGAGAGAGAGACCACCTTGTGGCTGGGGTGCCGCCCGTGGTTCTGGAAGAGATTCGGGCAACTGCGCAAGGCCGAGCCGCTTCGCGAGCGCCACTCGAGGTGAACTTCTCCGCATCAGATCGCCGGGGCGAGAGAGCTCGCGCGCCAAGGCCCCTGTCACGTGATCAGAAAGGTCGCGAGGTCAAAGCTTGCTTGAGGGTTGACCCGGCCCCGCCATCCTTTCCTCCGGGGGGGGTCGATAAAATTGCGACCGCTTTGTGGGGGAAGTCGCAAATGCTGCGTGTGCGTGATCCCAATTGAGAGATTTATAGAGGTGATGATGTTTCAGCACTGGCATGTTTTGGCCAGTGCCACCGTTCCACTGTTTGTGTGCGTGCGTTAATTTAGCTATGGGAGGAAACTAAAACAGAACCCAGGGGAAACCCGTGCTAGAACGCGGGGAGTTGGAGAGAATATCCGAACTCCACACACTCGCGCTCACACACTCGATCGACGCGCAAACTCGACGCTGCAGAACGGTGGAGAGAGAGAGAGAGAAAGAAACTCCACGCACAGAAAAGGCGCTTCAACGAAGCATTAAAGTACTTAAAATGGACCACGTGAGGCCCCAGCTGAGCTGCTATACCGCATTTCGTTTTCCAGAAGCGAACTGGCTATCACAAATGATGGCTCAACGAAGTGGCTTAATCATCGCGTGGGAATTTAAAGCGGTCACCTAACAGTTTGTTAAAGACTATGTTTTTTGGGGGGGGGGGGGGGGGGGTGGGGAGGGAATCTTTATCCTTGTAGGTTCGTCATTGTTTTACGGTGGAGTTGGCAGTGCTGTGGTTAGCCCACTGCGCTACGAACCCGGCCACCCGAGTTCGATTCCCAGTTCACGGCCACCAACACCAGGGACGAATACCTAGCTCGACTCGGCCTGAAAGGAGTACCCGGCGTGGTGTGCAGTAAACATCGGCACTGGGGAGGCAAAGGCGGCCGGGCGTGGGGCTGGCCACCCACCCCCTCGTGTGCCTTGCCGGCCTTCATAAGTATTCGTTAACATTACTTGTCCCAACGGTCCGTTAATGCTATACGGGGGATCTTTGTCTTTGTACGGATCAATGGTTTAGTTATTGGTGCACTGCCCTACGATCCTGGCTGCCTGGGTTCGATTCCACAGTGCAGAATAGATTACACGGCTGTATTTCAACCGGACCGAACGTGGTTCTAAGCTACACTATCCCCCCCCCTCCCCCACTATCCCAGGACCTCGATAGGCACGTGCCGCACCAACACCAAAATGTGTACGGCTATCCGGCAAGAGACGAGGGCTCTGTTTCCACGCGTGTAAGGGTCAGGTAAGGTCAGGAGCCTCCATCTGTCGGTCACCGTTGGTTAACTCTCGAGCGACGTGTCCTCTACACTTGAACGCAGCCTCTTAAGTGCACCTAGCCTGGCACAGTCGTAATGGCACTCGGCAGTCACCACATCAACGATGTGCATTTAAATTCAACAAATTATCTGCTGCGTTGACAGTGGTGGAGAAGCTCAGTTAACAACAAAATTCAACAACGCTGCTTGAATATACATTTTAAAAATGATAGGTGACGTTTCGGGTAATGGTCCTTCACAGCACACATGCGGAGACGCCAGAGAGGTAGTGTCAATATATATGGATTGTACGCCTTGGATCTGGACCAAGTTGAGTTTGGTGAAGGCGTGTGGGGCGTTAAATGTATTGTTTTAATGTCGTGTTGTGGATGCGTCTTCAGCAATTTCGGATCGCTGGATTTCTTCAGGTCAATTTCCGATTCGTTTAGGACTTCAGGGGACATGTGCAACACGAGTTAATCCAGAGCCTCGACAGCTTTCTTACTGTCCGCCTTTAGGCGTTAGCCCTCTGGTCTGACACTGGTGGTGAGACTAGGCTATGAAGAAGACTACCGTCTCTGGTGCAGGCCAATCAGCTTCAAAGACAATGCAAATATTATCAGAGCCATGCTTAAATTTCGATGTAAAGCTTTCGTGACTGCAGGGATTCATATTCTTGGTTCTTTCGGTAAAGTCACCACGTGGAAGGGAAACAATAAAATAATTTTAAAAAATATAAAACAATACAATTCTCACGACGTTTCGACTGCAACATCGTCTTAACGTTAAGAAAAAAAAACGCCACTTTTTTCAAATTTCCTTGCTGTGGTTTTCACACCCGACGATGATTGTTCGTGTCGCAGTCGAAACGTCGTGAGAATTTTATTGTTTTATATTTTTATTATTTTATTGTTTCCCTTCTACGTGTTGGTTTTCACACCTGATGATGATTGCTCGTGTCGCAGTCGAAACGTCGTGAGAATGTTATTGTTTTATATTTTTATTATTTTATTGTTTCCCTTCTACGTGGTGACTTTACCGAAAGAACCAAGCATCGGAGCCACGCTTGTGTGCATGCTCACCACAAGTACCAGTGTGTGGTCAGTGCAGTGATCGATTCCTCCTTGCACAAAGTATTTATTTGGCGTTTGAACATCTTTAACACGACTCATGTTCTATTGCCAAGAAGAGGTAGAAACATCCATTTAGAGCTTGCGTGACTGCAGGAATCCATCTATGAAAGCCGGAATATGACACGAGGGGGTGGGTGGCCAGCACTACGCCCGGCCGCCTTTGTCTACCCCGTGGCGATGTTTACACACCGTGCCAGGTACAAATGTTACGGCTGAGTCGACCTAGATGAAGCCCAGGACTGGGACCGGTTCAAATAATCGTCACCGATGTTGGCCCTGAGCTAGAATCGAACTCGTGTCCATCCTTAATAGGTGCTCGCTAATAGCACTCCCCCCCCCCCCCCCCCCCCGGAGAGCCTTCAACACATTTGGGGCATATTGAGACCTCCTTTGCCAGTAACAAGATATAGTAATAGGTCCAACACCAGTGGAGACTAGGGCTCTAAGAAAATCCGTCTCGGGTGTGGACCAATCAAATTCAAGGACAGTGCCATCATCATTATCAGAGTTATCTCTTTTTGTTTGCATTTTTGACTGCTTGTGTTGTGGTTATTGCAAACATGATCCCTTGTATAAAGGTGTAAGTTTTTGTGCCAGCTAAAAGGGTAAAAACCTATTACTACATTTGGGGCATCTTTGTCTTTTACAGGTACGTTACCAACACAGACACACACAGAGTACAATAACAAATACCAGCATGCATACCTAGACACATTGAAAAGCAAACATAGTGTACACACACCAACAACAACAACCGGCGATGATGTCACCACGACTCTTGTGCCAGGCTAGGTGCATGCGCACACACACACACATTTATACAAACACACAACTCTGTCAGTGATGCCGAGAAGTTGACGGAGTCCTGGGGCTGGAAACCTGGGGATGGAGACCACGTGGGACAGATCTCATTATTCATTAACGGACAAAAAAAAATTTGCCTGCTGCGTGCGGCCCCCTTATTGTATGTAAGGTCCACGGCAAATTGAAACTATAAACAATTTAATCTCAATTTTATTTCTTCACAAATCTGTTTGCTGTCCGCCTGATGATGCCAGTTGTAATTACCGGCGAAACGTCGTACTCGGATTGTAAACGTTGTGGAGCTGCTCTCCAAACACACCGGTGTGCTGTACTAGTGACGAAATGGCATGTTCTGTTCACATGACGAACCTTTATTAATTGTCCGTGTCGGGTGGTGGCGGGTTTAACGACACATATATATTTACGCGATCTAACCCCAAGCAAACTATATCATGGATGATATTGGTCGCGAAAGCCTACGTGTTAAACTTACCAGGTAAGGCCCACTGACCTGTACAGCTCTTTCCTTAGAAGCGACCTGGTTATCACAAATGATACGCTCAACGAAGCGGCTTATCACGTGGAAATGTATAACGGCCACATACTCGAAACGCGTGACGCTGATTCTTAATGTAGAGTGGAAATCCCAGGAGCACCTGGAGAAAATCCACGCGACCACGTAGGGAGAGAGAGAGAGACACGCAAACTCCATATTTTCAGCGGGGGTCATGGGATCAAACTCACGACCTCCTGCATACCAGGCGATGGAGTTAACATCTCCAAGCCACCATCACCCCCCCCCGATCTCTCGGAGTGGTGAGGGGGGACTGCATGCAGCTTCGATTCGCACGGTTGACTACGTACGGTGCGAAAGAAGATCAACGTGCATGCTAATTCATAGTTACTTACAAATGATCTTGTGATGCTGCTGTTGCTGCGTTGAGGTTGGGAGTGGTGCGCACGCAATTGCCAGACTAAAAAAAACACACATTCGTCAATAATAATAATACTGCGGCTTTAAAATGAAAATAGAATACCACAAAATACAAACGTCCATACATACTGACACATCAGAATATGTATTTGTTCTGGAGGAATCTGATGAGCTATAAAGCGCTTTTTTTCACTTGGCGGGTCAGAACGTAACAACAACAAACAATAGGCTAACAAGATAGGAGTGCAAAGCGTCGTAAAGGCAAACGCATTACTTCAAAAATATATATATACACACAAATACAACTAAAACTAGTTTTGTATCTTACCATGTGCCCACATACATCGGTATACAGCAGCAGCAGCCGCCGCCGTTTGCCAGCAAAGTGGCGGCCACGTAGCCACGATTCTCGTGCCAGACTCGAAGGTGCGCCCTGAGGCTGTCACGTGATGTGACGGAAGACTCACTGGGCCACGTGTAATGATGATGGGTTGACTCGCGAGATGACTGGAACGTCCACACACGTACACCGACAACGCCTTTGCTAAGCGTGATGCCCCGTGCCGTGTGGCTGTACAGGAATTGTTAACAATGTCCGCATGCTGATGTTAATTATTGAACGAGAACGATACGGGGACTCCTCTACTTACGAACGAGTTAGGTTCCAGAGATCTGTGTACGTAAGTCGATTTGTTCGCAAGTCCAAACTTTTCTCCTGTCGATTCCAAACACGTTGTGCACGGCGTGTGTACACTAAACGCGGGGAATGGCTTTAAAAGATGTGATGTAGATGGTGATGTAGATGCCACTGGTTCGTCTTACTACGATCTGATCATTATCAACCCCACAGTGGCAGCACAACAACAGACAATGGCTGCGGCCCAGGTAGAAATGCTGGGAATTCTGGGTAATGAACGGGAATTCTGGGTGATGAACGGGAATTCTGGGTAATGAACGGGAATGCTGGGTAATGAACGGGAATACCGGGGAATTCCGGATAATGACACCAAACAACCATCGCCATCTATTGCACGGCGGTTGAACTCACGACTCTCGGCCCGAACAGGTAACTGGACATGCGGACCAGGTGTGTTCGTATCTCTGAAAAGTTCGTAAGTAGAATGCTCGTAAGTTCGAGGAGTCCCCCGTAATTATAAAGTTGTGTACTCCCGTCGGGCGAGGCCACGGGTCGTCGTAGACACGCGCCCAAGCACCGGTTGGAAATAAAAACAGCGACGCTTGAGTACGTGTATTGTTTATTATACGTGATATAAACTGTGAATGAACAAATACAGATTACAAGTGCCCGTGCACTGCCCTGGAATGTGAGTATGTGTTGCGTGTCCACGTGCGTGTACGCGTGGAGTTGTGTAAACGTCGCCACCTGGGGAGACAAAGGCGGCCCGGGGGTGGTGCCGGCCATCCACCCCCTTCGTGCGCCGTGCCGGCCTTCGTAGGTGCCGCTCGCTGACAGCACTTGCCCCAACAGTCTGTTACAGGCTACACGGGGGATCTTTGTCTCTGTGTGGTAGTGGTGAGCTCGCTGCGTTGCGAGCCCGGCGATTCCCGCTGACGGCAAACACCGGTGACGATTACCCGAACCGGTCCCGGGCCTCTTCTAGGTCGATTCGGCCTCAAATGAGAACCTAGGTCGGTGTGTGAACATCGCTACTGGGGAGACAAAGGCGGCCGGGCGTGATGCTGGCCACCCACCCCCCTTGTCTACCGAACCTGCCTTTAATAGGTGCTCGCAAACAGCACTTTCCCCAAAAGTCTATGGCTTTATTGTTTGGCCGGATAGAAGGGTCTAAACGGGCGCAGCACGGGCTCGAGATGGCCTTACGTGGTTATGTCAAGATCGCCCTCTGTTAAAGGAGGAGGCTCGTGGAGGACGCTGCTACTGGCCAGACAGAGGCAGTCACCCTCCAGCAACAACGGAGGGCAGAGGAGCGACGCTCTCACAGCAACGAGCGGAGCGCCGGGCGGCTAAAACGAATATATTTGGCACGGTGTGGAGCACGGGTGGTGCATCGGCCAGTCATCTCAGTCGGTCAACACATGGCACCTGGGCCCGTGGTGCCATCAGCGAGCCTTGAGGTGTGAGTGTGTGTGCCGCCCCCAGTACTCGCCCTCACCCGAACCAATTAGCTGACCTGCCACTCGCCATAACCCTCACTAACTAGTCAACTTCGTACCAGCCCTACCCCTAACCAATTAGTCAACCGCCACTCGCTCTAACCCTAATAAACTAAGCCACCCAGCCACCAACACCAACCTTCTACCAGCCCCCTACCCCTAACCAGATAGCTAACCAACCACTAGCCCTAACACTTACCAGCCACCTAGTATCAGCCCCCTACCCCTATCCAGATAGCCAACCAGCCACTAGCCCTAACACTTACCAGCCACCTAGTACCAGCCCCCTACCCCTACCAGATAGCCAACCAGCCACTAACCCCGCACCACGCAGACCCAAGCCCGACCCCTCCCTAGCCGCACCCCCGGGGCCGTCTCGCCACATCCCCCCCCCCGGCTGGTGGTTCGTGATGGGGAGCGGTGGCGCAGCGGTTAGCGCATGGAACCGGGCGAGAGCCGAGTTCCAGCCCCGCTCACGGCCACCACCAGCGCCGGCGACGATTATCTGGAACCGGAACCCTCCCTCCTAGGTCGACTCAGCCTCGAATGAGTACCGAGTGTAAACATCGCCACGAGGGAGACAAAGGCGGCCGGCCACACACCCACCATGCGTCGTGCCGGCACTCAGAGGCGCTACTGAACTGGCTCACAGCACTTGCCCCAACAGCCGCTTGTGTGTGGCCGCCTATGCGGGTGCGTCTTTATCTTTGGTGCGCACGTCACCCGCCCAGCCCACGCCGCCCCGCCCCTCCCCCGCTACCCCCCCCCCCCAACTACTGCCCTGCCCCATGCCCCCCCCCTCCCACTACTGCCCTGCCCCCCCCCCCCAATGGCTCAGAGCCCAGCATTACTGAGCCACACGATGTCTCCGGGGCCAAGTTGAATTCCCTCTGGAACAGCGGAGCGACTCCACTTGCACACGCGCGTGAGTGAGTTCGTGGCGGTACAGGACTTCGTCTCATACGAGTACCCCGGTACGGTGTGTTCAACATTGTCGCGTTACTTGGGGAGACAAAGGCGGCCGGGCGTGCTGCTGGCCAAGCCACCCCCCCCACCCCCCCGTGTTGCCGTGCCGGCCTCGGCAAGTGCTGCTACTCGCTAACAGCACTTGCCCCAACAGTCTGTTGCAGGCTACACGGGGGAACTTTGTCTCTAGTTGTGTGTTAGAGACTTAAACGTCTCAAACGAGTACCCCGGTGCGGTGTGTTAAACATCGCCACTTGGGAAGACAAAGGCGGCCGGGCGTGGGGCTTGGCCGACACCCACCCCTTCGTGTGCAGGGGCGGCCTTAATAGGTGCTCGCTAACAGCACTTGGCCCTAACAGTCTCGTTAAAGTTTATATATGGGACCCTTTGTGTGTGTCACTGTTTGTGGGACCGTGTCACTGTGTGTGTGACTGTGACTGTGTGTGACTGTGTGTGTGTGTGACTGTGTGTGTGTGTGACTGTGTGATTGTGTGTGTGTGACTGTGTGTGTGTGACTGTGTGTGTGTGTGACTGTGTGTGTGTGTGACTGTGTGATTGTGTGTGTGTGACTGTGTGTGTGACTGTGTGTGTGACTGTGTGTGTGTGTGTGACTGTGTGTGTGACTGTGTGTGTGATTGTGTGTGTGTGACTGTGTGTGTGTGTGAGACAGTGACTGTGTGTGTGATTGTGTGTGTGTGACTGTGTGTGTGATTGTGTGTGTACGACAGTGACTGTGTGTGTGAGACTGTGTGTGTGACTGTGTGTGTAAGACAGTGACTGTGTGTGTGAGACTGTGTGTGTGTGACTGTGTGTGTGTGACTGTGTGTGTGTGAGATAGTGACTGTGTGTGTGTGTGACTGTGTGTGTGACTGTGTGTGTAAGACAGTGACTGTGTGTGTGAGACTGTGTGTGTGTGTGACTGTGTGTGTGTGTGAGATAGTGACTGTGTGTGTGACTGTGTGTGTGTGACTGTGTGTGTGTGTGAGACAGCGACTGTGTGTGTGTGAGACAGTGACTGTGTGTGTGTGAGACAGTGACTGTGTGTGTGTGTGAGACTGTGTGTGTGTGTGTGACTGTGTGTGTAAGACAGTGACTGTGTGTGTGTGACTGTGTGTGTGTGAGACAGTGACTGTGTGTGTGTGTGACTGTGTGTGTGAGACAGTGACTGTGTGTGTGTGTGAGACAGTGACTGTGTGTGTGTGAGACTGTGTGTGTGTGAGACAGTGATTGTGTGTGTGTGTGTGAGACAGTGACTGTGTGTGTGTGACTGTGTGTGTGAGACAGTGACTGTGTGTGTGTGTGAGACAGTGACTGTGTGTGTGTGAGACTGTGTGTGTGTGAGACAGTGACTGTGTGTGTGTGTGAGACAGTGACTGTGTCTGTGTGACTGTGTGTGTGTGAGACAGTGACTGTGTGTGTGAGACAGTGACTGTGTGTGTGAGACAGTGACTGTGTGTGTGTGTGAGACTGTGTGTGTGTGTGGGACTGTGTGTGTGTGTGTGTGACTTTGTGTGTGTGACTGTGTGTGTGTGTGAGACAGTGACTGTGTGTGTGTGACTGTGTGTGTGTGACTGTGTGTGTGTGTGACTGTGTGTGTGTGACTGTGTGTGTGTGTGAGACAGTGACTGTGTGTGTGTGAAACAGTGACTGTGTGTGTGTGAGACAGTGACTGTGTGTGTGTGACTGTGTGTGTGTGTGTGAGACAGTGACTGTGTGTGTGTGTGACTGTGTGTGTGTGACTGTGTGTGTGTGTGACTGTGTGTGTGTGTGAGACAGTGACTGTGTATGTGTGTGACTGTGTGTGTGTGTGAGACAGTGACTGTGTATGCGATAGTGTAGCGGTTAGCGCGCTGCGCTATGAACCTGGCGACCCGGGTTCGATTCCCGCTCACGGCCAACACCAGTGACGATTACCTGAACCGGTCCCGGGCCTCCCCTAGGTCGACTCAGCCTCAAATGAGTACCTGGTGCGGTGTGTAAACATCGCCACTAGGGAGACAAAGGCGGTCGGGCGTGGTGCTGGCCACCCACCCCCTCGTGTACCGTTCTGGCCTTCATAGGTGCTCGCTAACAGCACTTGCCCCTACAGTCTGTTAAGGCTATATGGGGGATCTTTGTCTTTTTGTGTATGTGTGTGACTGTGTCAGATAACAACGGTAGGAGGCTCCTAGATTTTTGTGCAGCCCATGGGTTTGTAATTACCAACATGCTGTTCCCGCATCGGCGCATCCACACAACATCATGGATGCATGTCTAGTCCAAGCAAGAACATCTGCTGGACTACATAGTGACGGACCAGCGGATGCGAGCCCATCCATGTCCTTGACACCAGGACCTACTGTGGAGCTGATCTGCCCTCTAACCATCGACTTGTAATCTGTAAGATGCGCCTGCCATTCTTCCGCTCCGGTGGTGGGTGTACACCCAGGACCCCATTCCAACCTAAAGTGGCCTGGTCTCAGTTATCTGATGAAAGTTGCAAGCGAGAATTTCATCATTGCCTGCGGCTGGGGTTGGCATCGTCCCCCACTCCTCCTGATGTCGAGGGTAAATGGGCGAGGTTTAGGACTGTCACTCATGCAGCTGCATTGGCTGCTTTGGGTACGCGGTCCAGACCTCCCCAGAGACCCTGGCTGACAGAGGAGGTGTTCAGGATGGTTGAGAAAAAGCGACAGGCCCACTGTCATCAGCTACAGAATCCCACGTCAGAGAATCAGGAGGCTTACCGCAGCCTTCGCTCGACGGTTCGGAGAGCCGTGAGGCGCTGCAAGGATGGGTGGTGGTCGCGGGTTGCTGAGGAGATGGAGTCTGCCTCAGTGGCCCGCGATCACAAATCTCTATTTAACTCCATCAAAAAAGTAACCTGCAGCACCACACCTATTACCATCATTTGGGGAAAAAACGGTGATCCAATCTCCGACCCCCAGGAACAGGTTTGCAGATTTGCTGAGCATTTCTGTGAGG